ACACACCACACACACCACAACCCACACACAACACACACACACACAACACACACACCAACACACACACAACACACACAGAGTTGTTACAAAACCAGCCCTCACACTTCTGACAGGCTGCAGGTCACATATTTATTATTATATACATATCCAATTAGCCACAAAAGCCTTTTAAACTGAAATTCAGAATTCATATTATATTAATATTAACACACCACTGTATATCTTTTAATATACATATCTATTGAAGTACAATGTGTACATTTTTTACTGTACTTTCTACGTTTGTTTAAATATGTTTGTTCCATTTTATTTGACCTTCTTATTTTCATTTAAATATCTTTATTTTGTTTTCATATTTTTATTGCACATTTTCACTTCAACTTCTTTTGTTTATACATCATTTTTTAGACATTATGTTAAAATAAATATTTGAATTATTTTGTAATCTTTTAATGGACATTTTACTTTAACTTCTTGTGTTTTGTATTTGTAAAACTATGTATTTTTTCTTTAATAACTTATGCTCATATACATATCTTGTCACCAAAACTCGCCCCAGATAAAAAAGTATTCTGATTCATATATTCTTCTTCTTAGAAGTGAAAAACAATTGAGTCAATCCTGCACACAATGGTCAACTTCGTTAAGCGTCCTTATACTTAAGAGACAAACAATGATTTAACCTTCACCAACATTGCCCAGTCTAGACTATAAACCTCCATTTCTGAACCAAATCATTACCAAAGCAGCGATCTCAATTACAGGCTATTAAAGTCAATTAGTTTATCTGACATATTATAAACTAATTCAAAATAAATGTTAAAAAAAAATACTTTCACATACTTGGATGTCATGTATGTCACGGTTAGAGATTTAATCAAATAAAATACACACCCTGTTTTTGTGAGGAGATGCCAAACACAGACGTTATGTGTGATTATTTTTATCAAACTGTTCACAAAAGTGTGTCCAATAAAGGAAAATTAAAAATACACACATTACAGTTAACAGACAAGTTGCAAACTTCTAGACGATATACAATGTATGCAACACAAACACTGTATGCTATAAAAAATTATTTCTCATGTAATCAGTGCAAATGGGCCTTCAAGTGTGAAACACTGTTTGCATGTGTGTCTCTACTCTAGAAGAGTACTGGTTGGGCTGGTTACCTGGCACTTTCTCAGTCATAATGATGACAACTGCGATTTCCAGAAACACCTGTTACTGTCTGTCACCTGTCTGTCAAAACACTGTTAAAGCAACATTGGAATAACAACTTCAAACTCAGTTTGATGCTACACTGAGTTGTAACAGGGAGAATGCTGTCAGTCCCACTCTGTTCTTGCACTATATACCTTTGGTGATCGGGTCATATGATCTCCTGGAAAGTGCCCACATAACGCCTTTTGGAGCGCCAATGTCTTTTTGCAATTGTTTTCAATGACTTTGAGTGCATGTGGTCACATTCGGTCAACATGTGGAACATTGTCATATTTCTGAGTGCTATGCTATTTTTATACGACCCAACATATCTAAACCTTTCAGAAACCGCTGGTGAAATCATGAAGAAATTGGAGGAGTAGCTTGTATTTGGCCGTGTCTTACAAACCAAATTATAAAAAATACAGGAAAGCCAATTAGTATGAGCTGATCGGCCAGGCAGACACTGGATGTTGCTGCCTGTTGTATTTTTATTGACGTACGCCCATCGACCTCCTTGTTCTGCGGCTGATTTGTCATACAAATATAAAGTAGCCCAAAAAGATAGACAAAAGGCAAAGCCGGAAGCTAGTCTGTCTTAAAAAAGCGGCAATACGTTATCAAGATCAGGAGGCTCACGGAATATGTGTAACGTAGTTGAAAATGCTTTAGGAAAACATGCACCAGGACATAACTGAAGACGTTTCTATGGCTGACTGACTGTTGGGACGACAAGGATTGCACTGAGAGCGGCACTATGTCTTCAACATGTATGTATTCTAATATGGTGCAACTGTCACAAAACGTAATTTATTATGTTAATAGAGTTGTATTAGGTATAAAATGAAAATACAATGGTTAAAAAAACTACAAAAGCATCCAGCTTTTATCTGCTTGTTTATTATTGTCCCTGTGTGAGAACAAGAATGCTTCTAGTCCCCAGAGAAGTAAATATGTGTCACAAAGACATCCATTATTTTCTTCTAAATTAACCACTTACTGGACAACAAATCTTTCTTTTTTACAATTCTGTACCCTGATCTGTCCTTCTGCATGAGGGAGGCCACAGAACTGGAAACGTAATGTTAGCGTGGGTGTGTTGAGCCTCCAGCTACAGATACTGTCCGTCAGTGAAGCCAGGACAGCTTAGCTCATCTTCCTGTGGCGGATATCTGTATTTCCCACACACAAGGGGAACAACTGCACACACTATCAATATACACTCACTACACATACCTATACAGAATAAGTCATATCAATAGTGGATATTGTGTGTAGCTCCCTTGAGATTCATGGGAGGGACATACTGTACTAAAGGTGTGTAACCTACTAAACAGGAACTGCAGGTCTATTTATGTGCTGTGCTGTCCCCACCCTGCCTGCTGTGAAATGCAGTGGAAAACACAACAGGATGGGTTTAACTCTTTCAGTCTCTCACACACACACATCTCATTAACCCATCAGAAAGACCTTCAGATGGTTCACATCACTATGATCCATCTGCTATTGGTGGTCAAACCCAGACATGACACGTCTTGGTTGTTGTGGTTAAAATATGACATTCGGCAATGTAAAACATTCATCACAGTAAAATGTTATGACTAGACAGAAATGATGTGTGGTAAGGTATTTACAAGTGTTCCTTCATCAACATTAAGGTGATGACAGAATTAAGAGGTTTTTCAAATAAGCATACCAATAAAAAAAGCTTTTTCATTGCACATATTTTAATCAAACAACATACAGCGGGTTTCTATTAACATTTTTTAATAACTGTATTACAATTTAACAGCTATACAAAATGTTTGGTGATCAGCACTTATTTGCCTTTTCATTACAATGACATCTTTCAGAAAAATCTGGAATTACGGGAGAAAGTTGGGGTGAATTAGAAACTTAAAGACACTTAATTTGGGTTGCCTATATTATTTTAAACATTAAGGTTTTCAGAATTATCGCAAGCTTTAATGTGTTACCCTCGACAGTCCTTATTTATATATGTTATTATTAATGTTTTACTTTTGGTTTTGTATACTGGCATGTGTTGCTGAAAGATGTATCGTTATATATTTAATGTTTGATATTTGATATATTGCAGTTTGTTGTGCTCTGCTGAAATTGTACGGTACAAATGTGTGGTATGGCATTACGCAGAAGACATTTGCAAAAATAAATAAATACACAACAGAAAAGCAAAACAATAAAAATCCTATTTCCCTTACTTGGTACTCGAAAAGAAAAAACAAAGGTTCCTCTTACAGCTTTTGCATTGATCAATGAAAGAGGTTTGATGTGGGGTGTCACTGTCTGTACAATAAGCACACTTCCTACAAGCCTCAAACCAGGTTAACATAGGCTTACAAGTTACTGTGTTGATAGTGTGAAACCTGAGCTGCTATGTGATTTGGTTTGCTCTGCTCACCACATTTATCATGAGCTTGACCACAGCCTTCTTCTACATCCGTCATCTGTGAATAAAAGGGCTTATTTTGATCCTGTCAATTACCTGAAAAGATCCCTGTCTTACTTCCTACAACCTGAATTCAGCAAACGTACCAATATATGTTAGTGTAGGATGCAGTGGCGAACCGTCAGGGCCTTCAAGGTATTCAGAAATACCCTGAAACACTCAGATAAAACAAAAAAAACAACATTTGTAATTATATAAATAAAATGTATATAAAATGAATAAATGAGAATCGTATCTGTGTTGTTGATCTGTAATATTACAGTGTTACGTTGATTTGTTTGTCCTTCTCGGACCATGCACTACGCATTTCAGTGGTTTTGTGTTAGAAAAAAAAGCAAAACCAATCAGATCTGGTTCTGGGTCTCTGGGTTAGAATATCCTTCAACCAAGGTATTCTACATCCGTTATAGAATGCCCCTGGCCGTGCACTGAATGAGAGCGTACGTTTGGACTGACAGTTTGATCAACCAATCAGATATTGATTTGTAGCCAATGGGCGTATTCTTTCAGAGTTCCCCTCGGTTCCAGGGTACTCTAGAAGGGCCCGCTAGTTAACTGGCTCGAGACAGAGGATCTAGAATGCGACGAAGCAATTCATGCCGTCTTATTGTTTTTAACGTTGAAATAACAAGTGCAACAGGTGAAGATGAAGTTGTTGCGGAATTGTTGCGAGTACCCTTTTCAAGAGGACAATTCAGTGAAAAGACGGACATTATAATACCTGGACCTTCTGTCTACAGAAGGTCCAGTTGTGATAGACACGGTTTGCCACTGGTAGGATGTGACTATCTACAGGCATGGCTTAATTGGACTGATTCTGATTAGTCAATTTGGTCTATTTTTGTTAGCAGACCGGTGCAAAGGACACTCCCATTAAGGGACTATGGGCAATCTTATCAATCTGCAGAAAGAATTACGGTCATCAGCTTTGTCCGAAAACACATTAGTTTTCCTCCATCAAAAAAAAAAGGTTTACTTTTTGAATCTTCATTTTTATATTTAAGGGGAGTGTGAAACCTTGGATTAATGATGGCTTGTCTGTCCCAGGTAACGGAAAAGAGAGCAAGAACAAGGAAACGAGAGAAGGAAAGAGGTAAAAAGACTGGACCACAGAAATCAGCAGAAGGCGGCCAACAGGAAGTAAACACTGAAGGGAATGGACTCTGGCAGTGTATTTAATAAACGTGATCATGTGCAGCAAGCTGGTCATTATAGAAAAGGGGACCACAAGAGGGTGATATAAAATGACCGGCTTGCTGCATATGATCCCTTATGTAACATATGGGCAGAACAGTCAAAAAGGTCTGAATTGATTATGAAGTGGTTCTTACTTGATGAGAGCTGTCCTGGGTGTGTCTTTCTGCTGATCCCCACTCTGAGCACCATTGGATGATGGAGGACCCGGAGAAGATGGAGGTAGGGTGGAGGAACAGGAGGAGGGATGGGTCTGTCTCAGCGGGCTCCTGCTGTTTAGCAGAAGATTGAAGGACTTGACTCTCATAGGATTTTTAAGGCTGTGGTTGCTCCGGCGACCGGCCCCCTTGCCAATGGGTCCTGTAGATGTCCTCCTGAAGGTTTGCTCGGATCTGGAAATAAACTCCCAGTTTTAGTAGTAGGCCTAAGTAACTTTCCTAATGGTTGTTTTTTTACTCTCAGTTGATTTCTTCTTATTTATCGGGAGCAAAATGGCTACTGCTAAGAGTGTGGCTGAGGTTCCTGTCCAAAGCAAGAAACAACTGTATAAATCCTAAATAATTAGAAACCCCAATGTTATTGTTCTGATAAAAGCAGAGTAAAACAACTGGTAGTTTTATAAGTATGCAGGTTTTGTTAATTACTGATCTATTTACAAGAAATAATGTTTTTTTATGACTTTCCTCTTTACCTTCTTTTCTTGCTGGGAAATGTAGAATTCTCTATAACTTAGAAATGGCCTCAGGATTGAAAATGCCTGAAATGGATTAAAGGTGGGGTAGGTAATTTTGGAGAAACCAGCTCGAGTGCGCTAGAATTTGAAATTACACAGCCGGAAGAAATCTGCTACTAATTCAATCTTTTTTATTTTATTAAAATAATAATAAGTGGCGACCCTTTTTCATTTTTGATTGTTATGTGGATTTGCAGATATTCATTGCTATCGGGATGTTAAGAGCATTCCATGGAATATAACAAAAAGTGTATCTCGAGCCGGTTTCTCAAACTTTAAGTATCCTTAATAACCCTAAAAAATAAAATGACTCCAATATAGTCCAATTAGCCGAGCCGTTGTTGAAATATTGTTCATATAGGTGGTTATGCTAATTCAGCAAATTGCCCAACATACGAAAGTTAGCCTCCACCAGTTTCTAAATCCTTCTAAAATAAAACTTGCTCAACAATTCCAACTTTGCAATTTGACTTAAATGACAACGGATAAATCATTTCAAAAAGACAGAGTGCCAGCTTGGAAAGAGCAGAAATACATAACCTAATATATTGGTCGTAAAACATGAAAGAGTATAGTAAAATGATCCTTGGGGGACTTTAAGTCGTATGTTTGGAAGAGCATAACAAGACAGATTTGGAGTCCTTATGTAAAGACATTGGATATTAGCTATCAAAGTATCTGAGTGTATAGAGAGTATTTCAACCTGCTGAGGCAGGCAAGAGGGCAGGGGGAATTCTGAACGAGGCAGAAGCCACGAAAGAGCACAGAGCATTCCTGCTCTTGCTCGCTCCATGTTTTGTCTACCAGTTTCTTAACACATTCAACATGTCTGACAATAATTCTAACGGAGACAAAGGCAGAAGATGCTCAGACAATACAGTACAGCAATAGATATGTCACACGGTTATGGTATAATGTCAAGTGGCCGTGGTATTCAAGCATAATGACCCTTAGGCTCAGTGAGGCCTGAACTTTGACCCCTCAGGATCCACTTAGCACAAACTCATAAGATCCAAGTCCTCACCAGGGGGATTTATTTCTTTCATGTTTGAAGTGGCAGCTATCGTAGTGCTTACATTTTGGCTCCAAATTTTGAATTCTGGGCAGTCACGATAAAGACAGCCGAATATTTCTTCATTTTATGAACAAAATAGCATCTACAGGGGACAACATTTCTGTTTTAAGAGTGATTTTTTAAGTCTTATTTAGTTGGAAAGGCTCTACCTTTTTGGAAAAATATCTATTTTTGATATTCAATTGTATGCTTCACTTCACAGTTCTCCTTAGTACTGCTTTCTTTTGATCACCAGGGGCCAAATGTTGTGTGATCACTGGGGCTCTTTCCATAAAGCTGCATAAAGCTGTAAGACATATTAAAATAAAAGACACTAGGGTCGGGTGATTACAAAAAGGCTTTTTAACTAAAGGGCAAAGCCAGTTTTATCATGTATTCCATGTCTGAAATTAAAGTTAGGCTGTCTCTGTTTTTACATCTTGTGATGAATGTCCTCGTGCTTAATATCATTGTGTAAGCTTAGTTTATTTTGACTTTTATTTTGTACATTTGTGAAAAGTGTCTTTGAGCAACTGTAAAAGCACTTGATGAATAAAATGTATAATATTATTATTATCTAATGTATTTCTCTTCCACCTGCATTTAGTGTTCCACCTCTCACTCACTTGTCCTGGTGTCATTGTTTGGATGTTCTCTTGGTAAGGCGACATGTGTTCTGTCCACTTACATCCTCCACCACAAATTGGCACCCAATTACAATAATCCTCTTGGTGACCCCCGACGACCCCCAGTGACCCACAGTCTGGTTAAAACAACCTAAACCACTACACACAAAGGCTAATTCTGTAAGGAATGACGAGTATGCTTGAAACATGCTTGTATACACGTGCATGTATACGCATGGAGGGAAAGGCGCTCACACACACAGAACACTAACACGTGAGTGACAGCCTTTTGTTTGGAGCGGTGTGCCTGTCAACATGACGATGAGAGGATTAGGAGACTCTTGTGAAATTCTGAGTGCTGCTGAAGGACCAGCTGCTTTATTACAAAGAACAATACCTGAAGACATGGTGGAAACGTACAACTTTCTATTGGTGAAATTAGTTCTACATGAGGTGCAGATGTCACAAAAAGAGTAACTGACTATACTTAAACAGATTGTGCATAAGGGTAGATGGGAGGACAGTCAGGAGCAGTGTTTCTAGGCTGAATAGGTTTGGAGGCTTGAATATCTCAATGTCCTGCAAAGTCCTTGTAAATGTTTTCAATAAAATATATCTCGAGTGAGCCATGTCAAAAAAGTCACAGTTTGTCGTAAAACTGTTGAAATATAAGACTATTAAAAATACGCAACTAGAAAAACTACAAATCCCAGAGTCGCGTAAGTGATGTCATTAACGTTACACATTACACTCGTGAAATCTTGTAAAGCCGGTCCCGCATGCTGGCTCTTACGGAACCGACTAACTCCCCTTGTGTGTATGTATAGCTCTCAACATGCCCAGACTTGTAGTGATTTTCACCTCTTTCAATACTTTTCACTTCATTCTGAAAGAAAGAGGTGAAATGTGCTAACGTGACGGCCATCTTGGTGTTGGTGACGTGTGCAAGACCAGAGATGTAGTTCATTGAGCGGTTTCACACAAACAAAAGTCTTCACAGTTTTACGACACATTTTTATTTTTTTGACTTTAAATGATCTTTTAAATTGACAAACATCATATGTGTAATTCGTTGCACAATTCAAACGGGATCGAAAAAGATAATCTTTCTCTCCCCATTGACTTTAATACATAATTTTTCCAAAATAAGGTCCCATGGAGGTCCACCGGAAAGGGAGGGACTTCGCCTCTATATGTAATTTGGTTTGTTTAGAAACATTTTTTTGTATAATAAACATGTGTGTAATAACAAGAGGCAGAGGGAATTCTTTGTGTTAAGAGTTACAGTATAGGCCTGTGTGTAATATTTATTTATTTGGTGTTATGCACTAGTCTATTGAAGGGACTTCAATAACACAAATCTACAAGCCTTAATGAAGTTATACTTAATATAGGCTTCGTCTCAATCTATTTAAGCTCAGTAACAAGATCATATTTGAACAGAATTTGTCCTATTTGTCAGGGTCATTTTCATCTTCCCGAACATGTTGACTGGCACCAAATATTAACGGTAACTGGTCTGAAGGCTGACACAGTATTTGAGGAACAGGTTAAGTGTGAGCTTAATAGCTTGTCATTACCAGTGTTCTTTCACTGTGCACAGCAGTGTTGTAGTCAAGTCACCAATTCACGAGTCCAAGTCACTCTCGAGTCACCACTCTTCGAGTCCGAGTGCAAGTCCAAGTCCGAGTCACCCAAGGAGTGTCCGAGTCGAGTCATCATTACCTGTGTTTGAGTCCGAGTCCAAGTCACAAGTCTTCATGTATTAACCTTCGTGGATATATGTGTTGAAATGTAGCTGCTCCTCTACATTGCTTTTATCCTGTCATGTTATACTAATCTGTCTATTGAACTGCTGTGAAGCGAGTTTGGCTACAATTCTTGTAATAGGTGCTATACAAATATAAAGCTTATTACTAATATTAATATTATTATTATATATAAATAAACTATATTTAAAATGAGTTACCTTTTAGAGAAGTGATTATATTTGTATGACAATATTTTCCAAGGGTAAAGTTTTCGTTTTGCACTTTTATTTTGATAGTAATAAGATCGGGAGTCTTATTTTGAAGGAACTTTTACCGGTTAAATCGGTTTACTAATAAAGATTTAGCCCCAGAAAGCACATGGCTACTTAGCATGCAAAATGACATCATTCTGCATGTTAAGTAGCCATGTGCTTTCGTGTTATCGGCTGAATCTTTATTTATTGATTAGATCACGTTACTCTGATGATAGTGTTCAAGACAGCCTATATGTCTGAACTCGATCCTTAGAGTAATGTGTTACGGAGCCTTCTCTTCAATATTGTTTCCACATAACGAGCATTTTGCGCTGCTCTTTTCCAATGTGGAAGCAGAATGTGTGAAAGCACAGCACGATGCGGGGTGTGTCTCAAGACATCTATAGGCTGGAATAGCAGGGCCCAGTCCGTGAACTCGCCTCACAGGTGCACATGCCAGGATAGAGGACATCAGACTCCAGAGAAAACTTGCTCGAGTCGGAGTCGGAGTCCAAGTCAGAGCGTCTATGTACAAGTCGAGTCCGAGTCATCGTGGGGGAAAAATTCACGAGTCCGAGTCCAAGTCAGCGTACACGAGAATTCACGAGTCCAAGTCCGAGTCGCGTCAATCAGTGCGCAAGTCCGAGTCGAGTCACGAGTCCCGAAAATCGGCACTCGAGTCCGACTCCAGGGTTGCATTCCAATAGTCCATTTAGCTTAGGAACCTTCCTAACCAAGTGAAATGACCCGGAAGTCCCTCAGTGGCAGCCATGATAAGTGCCGTTCCAATTCTCTAAATGAAAGGAAAGGAGGTTTCAAACTTCCTTTATAACCTCCTTTAGCTTAGGAACCACTGGACCTCCCTTACCGAAAGGAGAGGAGAAAATGCTGCCCCACAATGCATTGTAGCCGCAGCATTTGCAGTACTCAAGTCGGCCATTCACGGAAACAACCGATTATGACCGAGAAATTATATCATGAAAGTTACGGTGCTTATTTAAAGCATTTTAAAACGTATTTGGTAAGTTGCCAAAGTGCTTTTTTCTGAACGTTCATCAGTATTATAATCAAAAAGAGAAATATGAACGTTAGTTTTTACTGAAATGATCAAATAAAGTCAACATTTCACAGTCTTTACTGAGCTGTGTGGGGTTTGTTCAACTTTTAAAAGATGTTTGAATGGTGATATACACTGTGATAGATGTTAAGGACTAACGTTTATAATAAATACATTTGTATTAATTTTAAGATATTTTCATAGTTCATACAATCATACGTATTGGGATCATTTGAATTAATGTGGACCGGAGGGAGAGGGTGACGAGCATAAGTTTCACTTTCCTTTTTTATCTCAATTCCAACTTTGGTCATGAAGAATATGTTTCTCTGTTATCCACATTCATAAAGCATAAAGCAACAGCATCAGAGCACGGTGCAGAGTCTCTAGATGAGTTTACAGTAGTCCCTCGTTCTTATTAAACATCCATGTTGTAGTCCGCTGTATAGAAAACTGTAGTTTCCATAGTTTCCCCCCCCAGCAGCAGACGCACATTCATGACGTCCGCAGACGCATCATAAACACGTCGGATAGTAAAAGTGCATTCGGATTCTCTAAAGTACCGCAGTCTCTTCTCCTAAATCCTTTTGAATTCTCCTATCCACTATCCCTTAACCCCGTGACGTTTAACTCAGAGGTCAAGGAATAGGAGATAGGGTTAGAATTTAGGAGCTGATTTTTGGATTATCGGAACGCAACCCAGGACTCGAGTACTCCATCACAGTAACCTAAAGTTAAAAAGGAAGTTTTGGACATGTATGCTCAACTCAGTGTCCTGCACATTTGTTCAATTGTTATTTGTTTTTATGAATGTGCAAGCTCATTTGTCTGCCCACTTTCAGTGAATTATTGTAAAATTCCCTTAAAGATTAAAAGACTAGCTTAGAACTGTTATCCCAGAAAAATGCAGCAAAACAGGCAGAGGGAGGAAATCTGATGTTACAACATTCCCATTGGGCAAGGGCACACAAGATGTTGGGAATCTCACAATACAAACACATGTATTCCTCCATATAGAATAACCCCTCAATCTGTATTAGGAAAAAGGTATTTTTATGGCATACATGGTTGGAGAAAGGGATAAATGTTTTCAATGTTGTCAATGATCTCTACAGAGACCGCTTGTTTATGTCATTTGAGGACCTTAAGAAACTATTTAACTTGACTGATAAAGGGGATTTCTGGAAATATCTACAGCTGAGGAGCAGCGTTGGTTTGGTATTTGGACTGACAAGGGGTGAGGAAGAAGAGAATAAGATTCAAGAGTTTCTAAATGTTCCCCATACTCTACACTCTGCCTCACTATTCTATAGAAAAATGTCACATATTCAAATTAGACTATGTGAAGCCCTGAGAAAGATATGGCAAAAAGACCTTGGTAGTGAGATTAGGGAGGACCTATGGCAGGGTATAGTCTTGAATGTAGGTTGGGCTACAAGGGATACGATAAGCAAATTTATCCATTATAAATCCCCTGAAATTGTTTAAAATGTGCCTAACTCAGGACAATAAATGTTGGAAATGTAATAGAGAAATGGGCACGTTTCTTCATGCTCTATGCAGTGTTTCCCCTAGGTTTACTGCTTTGGGGGGGGGGTGCTGCCTGGCCGGGGGGGCATGTATATATTTTTTTAAATCCTCTGAAGCAGGGAGAGGAGCTGTGGATTATTGTTATTTATTAATGCATCAGTGTTTCTTAGGGTCAAAACACTAAACTCACAACTTAAAATGAAAGTCAGTCGTTACCCGAGTCAAAACTGCAGAAAATAAACAAGTCAGACACTGAAATATGAACATAAATTGGATGACCTAAATGAATTCTTTAAGACATTTCAATCCGGTTTCTGATCAAAACACGCATCGAAACAGCTCTTCTCAAAATCACAAATGACCTCCTCCTCTCCTCTGACTCCGGCAACCTGAACATCCTCCTCGACCTCACCGCAGCATTCGACACCATCAACCACACCGTCCTGCTGTCCCTCCTCGAATCATCACTCATCACCGACACTGCATTCTCCTGGCTGAAATCCTACCTCACCGACAGACATCAGTTTATCAACATCAATAACTGCACCTCCTCCACTGCTCCTCTGTCCCAAGGCGTCCCCCAGGGTTCGGTGCTTGGCCCCCTCCTCTTCATCCTCTACATGCTCCCCCTTGGCAAAATAATTAGTCGCCACAACCTTCAATTTCACTTCTACGCCGATGACATCCAACTTTATATCTCAACAAAAACCAGCACCCCAACAACACACTCCACTCTCACCAACTGTCTCTCAGAAATAAAAGCATGGATGCAAACAAACTATCTCCAACTGAACAGTGCCAAATCAGACATCATCATCATCATCGGCCCCCCCATCCCGTAGCAAAGCCATCCAGAATTTCAACTTCACCATTGACAGCAACACTCTATTTTTTTTAGTTTACAGAATGGCTTAAACTCATGACAGAGACTGCGGCCATTGAAATTATGATCGCCAGGGTAAATAATGTCCCAAGCAAATCTAATGGAGTGTGGCACATCTTCTTGGCCTATATCAAAGGTGCACTGTCCTAGGGAGGGACAGGAAGTATATTTGTATATGTGTACATGTATATGTGTACATGTACATGATGTATTTGTTGTAAATGTGTATCTATATGCTTTACGTTGATGTATGAATGGGTGCGCAGGTGTATGTAGGCATGTATGTGTGAGAGAATAATTGGGGTGCCAGGGGGTCTGCTGCCTGTATATGTCTGTTCTGCATTTATGTATAAAATGTGAAAAATACCATACAAATCAAAAAAGAAAAGAAAAAAAGACTAGCTTAAATAAGCACAATAAAATGAAGAGAAATATTATTTGATGCATTTTAATCTATAGCATTTCCAGCAATATCATGCTTGCTATACATTCAGAGGTTCACAGCTGGCAGTACCCTAATACACAGTAAAAGGTAAAAAACAAACAGTTCAGGAAAGAGCTGCCACATATGAGTGCAGGCATGTCATGTTTGTGTGCCATGTTTAACCTCCTGTCCTCACCTGTCAGTATTTCCAGCTGTATCTGTCACAGTGACAGGGGCCACAGTGATATCACCACTGCCCCCCTGCACCCCCGCCTGCTCAGCCCTTCCTCTGAGTTGGCTCTGCCTCTTGGCTCTCATCTGAAAGAAGAAAAACAAAGAAATATATATATGATGATTGGGTGCTTCATCACAGTAAAGAGGTACGACTCCTCTCGCTCTGGAGCCACAGTCCCCTCCCTCATTAGTCTGTGTGGTTAACCAGCATCAACAATGCACTGCTGAAATGATGTGTTTTCATCAGGTTTGGAACTTAGCCCATTGTGTGTGTGTGTGTGTGTGTGTGTGTGTGTGTGTGTGTGTGTGTGTGTGTGTGTGTGTGTGTGTGTGTGTGTATACTGGCACTCGAGGCTGAGCTATTCCTACTGTGGGTTTTAGTTCCCTCTAGTTATCATATTAATCTGATTATGGCTTTTATTTTGAAAGGCAAGAATGGAAAAAAGGAGACTGTAATGTGCTGCTGCTGCCATTGACAATGTGTAAGCAATAAACAGTTTGCCATCTAGGTTCAGATGCCCGACTAGGCGGAAGCAATTCGCTCAGCATGGCACACCGCTAACATTTTGCGCAAAGCGACACAGAGTTCAAAGTTGGATGTGCAACCAATCAGAAAACAGCTTTATGAATGGCGTAAGCTAGCGAGGAGTTAACCATAGAAACAAAACTGACCAGATGTTTTGAAAGAGAGGCTCTGCAACCTACAAACTAAAGATCAAATCACGTATGTTAAGGCCTCTTAAGAGCCTACAGCTAAGGTTGCAGCTTTGAGCTAGCAGGACAATACTAGCATGTTCATCTTAGCCAAAGTTTGGTAAATACAGGGTTGGTTTCACCAACTCAAATGTAAGACTTTTTAAGACCTATTTCACGGCAAGAAAGTATGAAGGAAAATTGCTATGAAAGAAGAAATACGTACATGAAATGTATTCATGTTCAACATAAGAACGATGACTGAACATAACAGCATAACAGTACACAGAATTGTGTTAGCAGGTTAGACAAAATGTGTGTGTGTGTGTGTGTGTCTGTGTCTGTGTGTGTGTGTGTGTGTGTAGTGCTAGATCGTATACCTCCTGAGTTTTAGGCGGCGGAAGTGACGTAATCGTGGATGAGAAGTTGGCAACTTTTGTATTAAAAGTTTAATATTTACCATAAATAGAGGAGAGTTCCGCTCACGCATGTCTCGTCACAAATATGAGGTTCGTTAACGAATAATGAGATCATACTCTATAACAACATTTAAATGTGTGAAATATACTTACATTTCAATAATAATGGTTTGATTATTAAATAATAACTTACAGTTCTTATTTGTGTTGCATTTGTGGATAAAACCCAAAGAACATTTAGGATATATATATATATATATATATATACAAATACTGGTCAGATATCCACCAGATCTTTTAGTGATTTTTGTCTCTTGGAAAAATTAAATTGCAACATCAAATACAAAAGTTAATCCGAAACAAACTCAAATACCATAATGAAATGAATCAACAAATTATTATTGTTATTATAACTTAAATATTATAATAGTGTTATACATATCTCAACAATTTAAAATTGATCTGCATATAGTTGAATAAAAATGTTGTTAAAAAAAAATAATAGTGTTATACCTGGAAACACAAATACACAACCGAAAATAATACATTTAATATGCTCGTCTCTTGTCCTGGGAGGCAGATTACATCACTAAAACCCAGGAGGGGATCTAGCCGCTGCTGCACTAGCTAACGCTACATTAGCAAAACAAACGCTATTTTTTTTTTTGCAAAACGTGCAGCGGGCTTCAAACACGTTCCCCTCCACTGGTTTCAACCAAGCACTAAATTCGATGTTTTACAACCAAATATGGTTGAAATTACACTTCCCCATATTTGTTTGTAAATAAATTCGAAGATACCTTAGTTTCTGACTGCCGCTAGCTTGGTTGCTAGGTTACTAGCTGGGTGTTCTCCGATAAGGGGCCGGGGGAAACAAAGTTATTGATTACTGGTTCCATGTTCCATTTAATTCAATACAAATTGTTGGGGGGAACTGAAAGGCTCTCACCGTACTGGTTACAAACCGGACATAGACGCATTTTGCAGTCTTTTTGCGTATTAGAAACGGAGACACAAAAACTGCGATATAATGTTTGTGTAGCAATAATACATATTTTTTACATGTCTCCAGTACCAATAAAAAGACCGATAACGTCGGAGCTTAACGGTACCACGGTCTTTAATAATTCAGCCCCAGGGCCCGTTTAATACCGGGGCCCGGTACCCATCCCTAGATATGAGAGTAATATCCATCTTCTCATCAAGCATAGGCAAGAAAGAGTGGACAGAGAAGAATATACGACATAAAGACTGTGCTACAAAGGCTTATGGTGTGACGAAATGTATGTTATTTAAAGTGCTGTCTATTCGTAACAAAGTGATCTCTATAAAACCATCATAGAGATACATAATCATTATAAATCATTGATATAATTGGATAGTTCCCACCAGTGGCGGCCGGCCCATAGGGGCGCCGCCCCCCCTCTTCCCACATACAAATTTTTTTTTATTAAACAAGGTAAATATTATATAATTGGTATCAGTAAAATGTATAATCTACAATAAAATCTCGTTTAAAATTGTGTTACAATGTCTAAAGTTACTGATAAGTCACATGTTTCCTGCCTGGCCTTGCCTGTGTATCATTACCCTCTCTCGTCTGGGCGCTATGCACAGCGCCCAGACGAGAGTGCAGCAAGTGCAGCAGAAGCCAACTGTTGCTATCTTTAAACTATGCCGCCGAAACATAATTTCAGCCAATCAGCGTCGTCAAATCTGATGGTCACAGGGCGCCTACGTCAGCGCCCGGTGCAGTCTGTGAGTTGTTTGGACTCGTATCCAAGGAGACAAAACAGGAAGCTGTCATACACTCTGGAAGCTATCATTAGCAGCTAATATGAAAACTCAGTTTTTGACATAAAAATTGAATTATGGATTATCAATAATTTTTTCAAAGTGACAGACACATTGGATTAATTTATGGATTAACCTTTAGCCGCATTTTTCTCGTTTTTGATCAGAATAACAGCAAAAGGTGAGCATATCTCCGTGTTTTGCTACGTCGTGATGTCTGTATTTGCTTCCCCTGTCGTGAGTTCTGATCGCTCAGTGATGATACTTATATTTCTAGAATCTGTGGAATCTTAGCTTGTTAGCTAAGCTTGTTTGTGCATATCCGATAAGTATATCGATTGATTTATACCTAGAGTGTGTTAGCATTTTTTCGCTCAGGGCTCATTTAGACGCTTCTTGTGAGACTTGTGTTTTGTTTCGGTAAACATGGTTCATTCGAAAACTATGTCCAGGACAAGGTGTTTGGAAGTTTTGGAAGATTCATAGCTAACCACACTGAAGATTATGGAGATATTGATCAGTCTTCTCATATTTTTAAGCCTCAATTTGTCCTCCCCCCCCCCCCCCCCCCCTCTAACATCACCAGAAGTCATAATTGAAGGGGTCTTCTCTCAATTATTTTTACCGGGAGAGAATCCCCCCCCCGGACGCCCCTAGTATTGTTTGGTCACCATTTCCACAGCCCCACCTAAAATATTTTCCACCAGCCGCCACTGGTTCCCACTCCAATACAATATATTTCCAAAGTTAAACCTGAATCACCAGTACCAAGGTGGACAGAAATAGAAATAATCACCTTTTACTAAGAGAGAGGAATAGAATATGTTTAAGAATGATTTAGAGTATCCAGTTTTAATTTGCAAAGATTTAAAAAGGGGAAAAGAATGCAGAGAAATTGTTTGTAGTTATGAACAGGGTGCATAATGAATACATCTGTATTAACGAGGCTTTACCTGAGCTTGTGTTAGTGAAGCCGAGATGCGACCCTTGAAAACTCGTCCAAGTGTAGAAGCGCGCTGTCTGGGCTTGGCCTGTGTTTGAGAAGTCTTCTCTTCAGCCTTCTGTCTTCCCATTGGGTCCAACAGGTACCGCTGGGCCATGCGCATCATCCTGTTCAGTAGGGTTTTGGCTCCAGTGATTGAGTCTGTGGGTAAAAAAAGGGAACCAATATCATAAATGTTCCAGGAAATAAATTAAGTTATTTTTGGTTCTACATCAGAAATCATCGAAGGCTTTCTTCTGGAGTAACAAGCCCAAAAAGAAATGAGGGCTTGACAATTAATTGACATTTTATTGGAATCGCAAAAGGAACTAGAGAAATATCCAAATCACAGACAGTGCAATATTTGTTGAATGTAAAAACTAAAATATTAATGAATTAAAATGCAATTCTGAAGTCCCATCAAATGAGCGGTATTTGTTACTAACTGTAAATCACTTACACATCACTGTACCCTGTATGCCAAGGCAGGTCTGCCATCACTTACTGTTCGGAGACTCAGTCACTGGTACATGTTCATCTACAAAGCCATGCTGGGTAAACTACCTTCTTATATCTGCTCTCTGATCTCTCGACGAATTGAAAGTACTTATTGCCTGAGATCTCATGATGTGGTTTTATTAAATGTGCCAAGTGCTAAAGTAGGACTGTCTTAGGGAAGAAAGCTTTTAGTTGTGCAGCTCCACTAACTTGGAACAGTCTGCAATTTATTTTAAAACTAAGCACTTTGGTTCCCCTGCATCATTTTAAAACTCGGCTGGGTGACATGCTGTTTGTACTCATGGTACCTGTCACTGTAAATAGAGTTTTTAAACTGTACCCTGTCATTTATGTTGTATGTCGTCCTTATTGTTGTTCTGTTGTTTTTATGTTACATGTGTAACCAATGTGCTGCAGGTTACCCTTGAAAAAGAGATATTTTGATCTCAAGGGGCTTTCACCTGGTTAAATAAAGGCTACCAATTGGACAGACTTGATACAAAAATCTATTCTTTAAAAAATAGCATGATCATTTTATTATATTTTTCAAATATAAATGTGAATAATGATTAAAAAATGGTCGCTCCCTTTAATATAGTGGCAAATATCGCAATTATAATATCAGTAAAAAATAACCGCAAAATAGCCCTTGAGAAAATGTCATGTAAGATTGCATGAACATGCTAAACTCCATCTTATTATAATCACACGTCTTGCAGACATCCAGAGCCTGAGGATCACTCAAAACCCTGGGGACAATGTGTGATGATACAGTGAGCAGTGGCATGTTGGAGTAAAAAAGTCAGTTAATCATTCCATTACAGAGGGAAATGCCTTTGTGTATGTATGTGTGTTCTGGTGTGTGAATGTGTCCTTGTAATAGACAAATTAATGTTATCAGTGGCTCCCCATGTTTACTCAGGGGGCAGAATGAGCCTGCTTAGGCAAGCTGAGAACACAAAGACCCCTTATCCAATGTAGCGTCAGTGTTTGTGTGCACACACTGAAACTGTATCCCATGTTCAGTAAGGAGAGCAAGACTTTTCGACAATATGTGAGAACTTTTTACTTTGCATGAGGAATTGAAAATTGCTTTAACATTTTAATATCATGGCAAATCTTTGACTTATTTATTATACATTATAATAATTTCAATTTTCTTCTGTTTTCAACTTGATTGAGGTATACTACTTATGTGTTGTGTATTTGCTTTCTAGAGCAAGAGTAATTAGTGCTTTTACCTGAATGTGGTCATTTTCCTGGGGATGAGTAGCTTATGGCAGAGGTTCTCAATTGTTTTTCAGCCAAGGACCCCTTACAAGATAGAGAATACACCAAGGACCCCCTCATTCTGATTTGTGATTTTGGGCTATATAAATAAAAATTGACTTGATTTGACATGTATGTCCCTTGAAATAATCTGACGTAGCCTATTTTTTACACTTCTATAGTCTTAGTTATGTGAAAGAACAACACAACAGAAATGTATTAGAAATATATTAGATATGTATTAAAAATATTTGCACCATCTCAACACAGAATACCCATAACACAATCAATTAGCTGCAAGTAACACTGTACCTAAACTAAATATCAAAGGGAAATCAAGAGAAACGTGATCATTTGAAGTGCATTTCAGAACACACACACACACACACACACACACACACACACACACACACACACACACACACACACACACACACACACACACACACACACACACACACACACACACACACACACACACACACACACACACACACACACACACACACACACACACACACACACACACACACACACACACACACACACACACACACACACACACACACACACACACACACATATATATATATATAAAGATAACACATCAAGTGTTTCACTCTTAGTTAAATGATTTATAAAAGTCTAATCACAAAATAAATGCAGGCTATAAACAATTGAACACATGCCTGCATTGCAACATATATCAAGTAAATTGCAAAACAACTACAACTGCATTGCTACAATCCCAAACCACTACTTGTAATGGCAGCCAGCTCTGGACACTATTGGAGTGATGCAAGGCAGTCCATGAAGCTGATTGCTTCTCTCTGCAAGTGAAGACACGCAAGATGTGGCCCTTAGTGTCGGTGGGACCTTGGACATGCTGCGTGATGTTAAAGCACTCCAATAGTGACAGAAACTCAGCGGCAAAGGTGCAGGTGCTGGAGTCCACGTGGATGTTAAAATCACCTAGCAGTAGTGTGGATGGGGACATAGGGTTAGGGTTATTGAGGGACATTGTATATATAGGGACATTGAGGTGAGAAGCTCAGACAACTCAGACAAGAATGAGGTGGAAGGTTTGGGGGGGCGGTAAATGAGGACGACCTGCTGCTTTGAGGGGGCAGCCACTGAGAAGGCAATGCACTCAAGTGAGATTTTATTCGTCACAAGCAGCTGTTTGACAGGGATATCTGCTCTGTGGATGACTGCCAGCCCACCACCACGACCAATGGAGCAGGGCTGTTGGAGATAAGCATAACCTGGGGGGGTGGCTAGGTTGAGTGTGAGGAAGTCCTGTTGGTTTTGCCATGTCTCAGTGAGGCAGAGAAAATCCAATTTCCTATCAATGATGATTTTATTAATAAGTGATGCTTTGTTGTTAAGGGAGCGGGTATTTAACAACATGAATGTGGGGGAGTTGTTATATGTTGCAATGGCTGGTAAAACAGTGATGCCATTAACACAGGCCAAGGGCTTCAGGTTAGGGTTTGTTGTGATGACGTAAGTGGGCGGTGACGGGGCGCCGGGACCACACAGTTGGGATAGTGTCAGCTGAGCCGGTGTAAACAAACCCACGTTTGGAACCTCTATGGACATACCTGGGTCTGCCAACTCGTAACAGCCCGAGGTATTCAATGACTGACAGACATAGAGGGGGTGTAGTGAAGTGGTTGATCCTAAAAAGTTGCGAGGCGGAGTAACGAAGCATCACGATGGTATGATGCTAACGTTAGCACAGCGTTAGCTGTGGTCGCGGATCGGCCGGGAGAATGCACTATCAGCCAAGAGTACAGATGAACCAGGACAGCAGGCAGCCTGTCCAGGAAGCGACTCAAGGATGGACAGCACCAGTGGCGGTTCTAGACCAATTCGACTGGGGGGGCCACTGGGGGGCCAGTTATTTTCTGAGGGGGGCACAATAAATGCAGGACGAAAAAGAGAACTAGACAGTATGAAGTAATTGGGCATAAGAAAACAATGCAATACAGTTATTGGTATTTGTTTCAGTACACTTATTTATTTCAGATAGATCTTATAGTTATTACTGTTAGCTTCAGCTTAAGTTATAGTACCATTTTTGCACTAACACCATATCATATTTATATAAAAATAAAGGCAATGAACAGTTACATCTCTACTTTACATAAGGGTGTCTGCATCCCAGGCTGTAGTTTCCTTCCCAAAATGTCACATTACAGCAACAAAATCCTGCGGTTTTTGTGATTTTTGGCAAACCGATCAACAAATAAGTCAAGATTCAAAGCCTTTGACCTCCTTGACTCAATACTAAGCAGACCCAGATTGCTCAGTCTCTCATCAGTTATGGTGGATCTGAGAAAAGTTTTGACCAGCTTCAATGTAGAAAAACTACGCTCACAGGAAGCAGAACTGACTGGGATTGCGACTGCTATTTTGCAGAGTCTGAAGAGCTCAAAAAACACTTCTTTATAAGGCTCAATGAACTGAACAAGCTCCACTGTACTATCAGGTCTCTGTATCCCACTCTTTATTTTCTCTAAAATTCTGCTGAACTGATGTAGCTCATGCCCCAAGTCCTCAATATTTGCATCATACAACTGAGCAAATGAAAACAGAGTTGTCTCCTTCAGAAATGCATTACTTTTGGGGTTAAGAGCTTGGATGCTATTCATCATGTCACAGTTTGTGTTTGAAAACCGTCTATTAAGCTCATTGAGCATCTGATCAATGACAGGGTAGAAAAAGGCTGTACGAAACCCGTGTTTATCTTGTTCCGTCTCTCTCTATCCAACAGTAGGCTAGCCAGTACGAAGCTTTCAGCAAGTTTAGAGCTCAGTCGTTTTTGTCGTTTTGCTGCTGGCTGTATTGCAGTATCACATTGCTCAGAAATGTTCAACACTTCATCCCACAAGTTATCAAAAAATGACTCCTGCCTGAAGTCATTCAATGTCTGAACTAAAGATCCAACTAAATCCACAGCCTTTGAAAGGTCAAGGGATGAAGACTAACATGTCAGAGAGAAATATTGTTTCTGCAAACACTTTACGGAGTGTTACAAGATGCACAATGAATTCTAGATCCAACTGTGCCAGCAGACCACGTCCCTCAATAGATCTCTCACCATTGCGTTCTTGGGCTATGTCTTGCAGTACTCGCTTGAGGGCCGGTAATCTATCCATAATGTTAATGTTTCCATTATGCTACAATGATGGGGAGTTGTCTTTTCTCTTACTGTGCCACAGAACAACACAAACACTTGTATTGTTATTATTTTTTAAAGTAAAGTAACTTGTTACTAGTTACTTTTATAATTTAGTAACTAATAAAGTAACTAGTTACTTTTTTGAGAGCAGTAACTATAACTAGTTACTTTTTTAAAGTAACTTGCCCAACACTGGTAATAAATCATC